GTTTGGCTCACTGGTAAATTTAGCTGAATTACTGTTTGTGAGTCTCTCCCAGTGAGGCTCATTTCTTCTTGATTTGTGACTTTTGCCCTGCACTCTGGGGCCTCAATGATTGAGCTATGGAAAACCTCTTACCCATTTTATTAAACAAACATGGGGTTGCATGTCACTGTAGGCTCAAACAGAATCTGCTGTCACATAGGCAGAAGGCCTGTGCTTTTCGTGGCAGACTATTGTTATTACCCTGAGCTCCTTGACTGACAGTACCCTCTTTTACTGTCTTGAAATCAGAGGTCTTACAGTACATGTTGAAGATGCCTTCTTCTCCAAAGCATCTGTAAACAGAAGCGTTGCAGATCCAGGGATATCGACATATTTATCAGCTAAGCATGGCTTGTACAAAATCTGAAATGCTCCTCATGCACAGTTTCAGATTTTTGGAACATTTCCAATCTTGGCATTTCAGGCTAGGGATACGCAGCCTGTATCCCTTTCTGTGTTTGATAGGGTTTATTAAAGACCCAAGCTTTAATGGGCCTTGTGTACCATGTTTAGTTCTTTGCTTTTTCTAGTAAAGTATTTACTTGGATATCCTCTGTTTTTTTTTTATTTCTCTATTCTGAGGTACTATTTTTTATCCTTTCAACACCTATTAGTTTGCATGTGCACTTTAGAATCTCTTAAAAGTCCTCACACTTTCTCTAGAATCCAATTCCTATAGATACTGTTATAGTGTGTTTCACTGGGCACCAGGAGGAAATGCATTTTACAGGCACTTACTTTCTGAAACATACACAGATGTCCCCAAAGCCTTTCAGTCCCCAGTTTTGTGAGAAGTGCCCTCTTCCTGAAGAACACCATATCCCACATGCGTGCATGCTGAGCTGGGGAGGGAGCCTCAGTGATTTTAGGTACCATGTTGTTCGTAGCTCATGGAACATGGACATTATGGAGAAACTATCTAGTTAAAAAAACCAAAGCTTATCTGTATGTACTTTTGTACATTTATGTCTTAACTTGTGAGAAGAGGGGAAAGGGGAACAGGGAAGGAAAGGAAGATGGATGAGAAGAAAGGGAGAGGGAGAGAGAGGACAAACATGATTACTTTGCTTCAACAGTCCAGTTGATCCTGGAAAATGTTTTGAATAGTTCTACATGAGACGTGATCCCATCTTGTATTGACTAGCTCTCTGGACTCTAAATTGTTTAACATGAATTGGTGATGTCCACCTGAATTCTGTGATGAGAAGACAGAATGAAGAAGATTGTGGTGAGGACATTGGCTCCTCAGAACTGATTGTACACAGATGAGATAAAGTTTGAAGTGCTAGAATGTGAGGGAGACTTTCTAAAGGGAGAATAAGTGATAGGCTCAAGAGAGGCTCAAGAGAGTGGACACCACCGTTTCACTATGAAAACCTAGGCTCTCCTGTGGCTGGGTGACTCCCTACTCTGTCAGTTTCATAAACTCAGATCCTGATGGTTTCTCATTCACTAGTGGTCTATTTCTAGAATGCAAGTTTTAGGCAAATCCCACGTGTCTGAATACAAATGTTTTATATATGTGATATGGGAAGAGGTGTGGCTTGTAATACTCTACATATTAGTAGCTTTGATACTCTAAAGTACACACATGACGCATCACACGGAACTCCCTTTTAACTGAGACAAACTTCACTCACACTCTTTATTTCGTGTTCTTCTGCTGACCCCTCTTGACAGATGCCTTAAGTACTTCTTTAACCTGTGAGGCTAATTTTTAAATTGCATTGTCTTTGATTTCTAAGATTTTAATTTAATTTCTGCTTATGCCTGTGGGTGCACAAGAGCCTATGTGCTTATATGTACAGTTTATATGGGTACCCAAAAAGGGCAGATGAGAGCTTTGAATCCTAAAGAGCTGGAGGTAAAGGCAGCTGTGAGCCGCCTAGTGTGCGTGCTTGACACCAAATGCTAGAGCTCTGAAAGAGCAGAAAGCATTCTTAACTGCTGAGTAATCTCCAAACCCCCAATTAAAACATCTTGTTTTATTGGTGATGACTGATTTACTTTTATGCTTTGGTATGCAAGAGTGTAACCTGAGGCTCTTTGTCAGACCTGGTCCTATGGCTCTTGAGCCCCAAATAAACACACAAAGACTTGTATTAATTATGAAACTGTTGGCTGGGAACGAGGACTTCTTATTGACTAGATCTTTCTTCATTATAAACCCATTTCTATTAATCTAAGTATTTCCAGGTGGCATTATCTTACTAGAGAAGGGTCCAGGGCACCCTACCCTCCTAGGCTCCATATGGGGACTGACTGCTAAGTGTCTCCACAGAGAAAAGAGCGATTTCCTGTTTGTCGCTGCTTGTATCCTGTTTCTGCCAGCTATTTCACTTCCCACCTGTCTGTACAGACCTCCATACCTCTATGGTTAGCTAGTGGCAAGTTTCTGCCCAGCTACATCACTTCCTGCCTGGTCAATCAGTGTTTTATTCATTAACCAATAAGAGAAATAAATATATAGAAAGACTTCCCGATCACAATATGAATCTATTAAGTTTGTGCCTATGTATATTGTAACTGGGCACACAGATGTAAATGTGTAAATGCTTTTTTCTTTATTAATCATCAAGCTCTAAGAAGAATGTCCCCTATCTGAGAACATAATTTTAGACCACAGAAATGCCATTGATACCACAGCTGCAGTACTAACACTTCCTGGAGCCTGGGCACACAGACACTTGTGTACAGGAGTCACTGGATAACTCAACAAAATCCAAGCTCTGTGTGGCTCTGTGGTGATGTGCTAGCCCTGTGTAGTTTTAGCACACAGATGGTACTCGGGCAAAACTGTGTTTGATTTGAAATGAGCAGAATTTGGGAGAGAGGCTCTGAGTAGCAAATTATTGACTTGAACCATTTAAGAGATAGATATTTGTAGCCATGCTGCTGTGTAGTACTTTGTCTAATGCTGAGAATGTATGAGATGGGACAGTAAGAAGTTAAAGGGGCAAATTAATCATATTAAGGAGATGAGGCAGTTTTTCTACTTACACAGCTAAGGATAAATAAAAGGAAAGTCTTAAGCTGTTTCCAACAAAAGTACAGACCAGAAAACCAGCTGTGGTTTTATTTATAAAGGAAAACAGTTGCCAAGTTTGAGAACATCTTATGAGAGGCCTATCTCCGAGTATGTAAAGACTGTCCTTCCAGAGCTCGGATGTACTCCAAAGAGCAAGTGCTTTTGTTGGAGATTTAGAGACAGCCCCAAGACACTCTGCTGTCTAGTGATGTGGATACTTAGGCATTTATTCTGCTCACCTGTCCCCCTCTTCTTCAAGAGATGAGAAGTGGGAACAGTGGGCAATGTTCACTTTACACATTGACCTAAGTGTTGGTCCATACCCTGTCTTCCCAGCTAAGCAGAAGGATTTGCTGTTAGTCTCATCTAGTTACATAGCAGATTTGCTCTACTGCTGTCGATCAATGAGTTACCAGTTGAAAATCACGTGTGGCTTGAAAAACATTGACACCATTACTCTGTGCTAAATCTCTGTGGTTCACACAAATTTCCTACCTCAAATTCCTCTTTTATTTTTAGCTTATTAGATTGTAAAAGTGTGTGTTTACATATGGGATCTATATATATATGAGATTATGAAAGTGAGCCAGAGATATGGCTCCTCAAGTTAAAATGTTGAATTGGCGTCAAGTGTGACAGGCATTATGGAGATTTTGAGAGAGACTACTGGCTTTATTTTCTTCAGGAGTCCTGTCTGCCCTAGAAGATAAACAAGACACAAAACCCTGGAGAAACTGTCTAATTTGAAAATGTTCAAATGCTATATTTCTACTACTCATAAAAGTACTTAGCACCTGGCCGAAAACAAAGTTAAAGGAGTTGGAAAAGCTAACCACCTTACACAAATAACTTCACACTGCTCACATACCTTAGATGATCACATCAGTCAATTACAATAATAAGAAATAAGTTAACTAATGAAGATCATACAGATAGATACTGAGTATAAAGACTGACATGACCTAGGATTTAATTCACCTAGGATATAACCAATAGCAGTAGAACAAGCCTGCCATGTAACTAACTACATGAAGTTAACAGCAGATCCTTCTGCTTAGCTGGGAACATCAGCTGTGGCAAGCTGGGAACATCAGCTGTGGGCCAACCTGGAGGTCAATCTGTGAAGTGGACATGTATCCACCAACCTATGATTTAGTTATCTTTGTCTATAGGTTACAATTGTTTTTTTAGACTATGAAGCTTATGAAAAATAGGTTCCAATTAATTTTTAGATTATTAAGCTTAAGAAAATATTTTAAATAGAAAAAGTCACTTAATTTAGCATATTTCCTAAGAGATTTTCTAACCATAAATATGTACACTCATGCTCAGATAAAATCTACAATGGTATGCATATCACTGATATAAAGATATATCACCATATACATGTGTGTATTTTGTTGTGTGTATGCATACATACAGTTTACATAGTCTATCATAGCAGGGGAGTCACAATGACAGGAACTTAAGATAATTGAGCACATTATATCCATATTTAAGAGTAGAGCACAAAGAATTAATTCATGCTTACTGAAACTCTTTCTCCACTGGCAGAGTTCAAAACCTCCTGCCTAGAGAATGGTGTGACCCACAGTGAGAAGGCCTTGCCATCTTAATTAGTGCAATCAAGATACTCCTCCATAGATAAGCCCACAGGCCAATCTACTCTAGACCATCCTTCATTAGGACACCCTTCCCAGATGATTACAGAGTGCACTGAGATGACTATTAAAATTAACCATAACAGGGACTTACCTCCTTACTGCCTTTGCTCCAGTGCTTTTGACAGATATAAAAGTATCCATCTCGCCGGGCAGTGGTGGCGCAAGCCTTTAATCCCAGCACTTGGGAGGCAGAGGCAGGCAGATCTCTGTGAGTTCGAGGCCAGGCTGGACCGACAGCCTCCAAAACAATCATAGAAACCCTGTCTTGTAAAACAAAACAAAACAAAACAAAATATCCATCTCATGATTATTGGGGAAATCACTTGAGTTTACAAATGAAATTCTCCCCAAAATACCTGGTGCCTACTTAATGTCTTATGAGTATTCAGGGTGGTTATACTTCAGGTCATATTACAAGAGCCTGCTTGATATGTTTAGTGGCTCTGCGATGTTTTCATGGATAGATGCAGCCTGATTCATCCCTCAAGTGTTGCACTCTCAGTTGTTTCTGTTTGGTGTTAGATGAAGTGTTGAGATGGCCGTCCTTGATCCAGTTCTTCCCGGCCTTTGCTTAGTGATGCTCCTATTCACTTTGTCTCTCTCTGCTTGACTATTGTTCTAAGATGAGGACGCAATGGCAGAAACAGAAAGCCAGGCCATACAGAGCATTACCCAGAGGAAGGAAAATCACGGCAGACGTGAAAAGTGTTCAGACCAGCTTGATAGGGAGCATCAGGGGGATGTGAGCGAATGCAAATCTTCAAGGTCCACCTGAAACCACCAAGTGGCCTATTGTGATATTAAACGTGAAATTATGCAGATAGCGCTGTGATGATTGCTTGTGTCTCAGGTTGGTCAGGAGGATGCTAGCACTGGTTTAGAGTTTTGTCAGTCCTTTTGACATGTCTTCTCACTATAGACATATTACAGCCGGGGACGAGAGAGATGATGTAGTGGTTAAAAGCTTGTAGTGCACTCGCAGAAGACCCAAGTTCCATTCTCAGTACCAGTACCCTCGCTAAGGGGCTCATAATCATCTGCGATGTAACCCCAGTTTCAAGGGATCACATACCTTTTTCTGGCCTCCACAGGTACTGAGTTGCTGTGGACAAGCCCATATATAAATATAATTAGAAATAAAGTATTTTTAAATATTTTGAATGCCTTAAGGCTTTCATAAGCACACACCAAATACTTACCGGGCAGTCTACACACTTCTCACTCCATCATCAGAAATGGCAGGTCAAAACAAAGTTCCTTAGTAGGAACAGACACTCACAGTTACGGTAAGCGCAGCATTCGGTATAGCAACAAGCGTTAATAAAGATCCGCTGGTGAGGAGGAATGACCTATGCTTTGCCTGGCCAAGGCACAGACAGACACACAGCAGAAAGTCTCAAAGATGCATAGACGTTCACTCCATCCTCCGTCGTGGGGCACACACTGTCAGAGGCCGGTGTACTGAAGATTGGCACAGTGTGACCATAGCATCCGGCTCCTGTTCACCATGTAATTAATCCAAGAAAGCATCTTAACCTCATCCGAGCATGCCGTATGGGATGGGCTTTGCTGCGGTAACATCGGGAGCTGAGACTAAAAGTGTTCCTCCTTCCAAAGACAGTGCAGCTCCCTCTACAGGGAGCTCCATGGATATAAGGTTCTCTATCATACTGTGTGATAATTCAACTGTCATAAGAGGCATTAGCCATGCTGAAGTCTCCTGAGTGCATGCTCATAGTGACAGGTCCTACAAACAAAGTGCATTGCCTCTCTGTGACCAAGAAGTAAAAACTAAATGGGGTTCGAAGGGAATGCAACTCTGCTCCTTACAGAAGCCTTCACACCTCAGCCTTTCCAATTATGAGATACTGATAAAGGAATACTCATCTAAGGAGTAGCTCCATATACTTACTAGCCCGAGAATCACCTGTTAGTTGTTTCGGGAAATTTTATGACCCATTACTCTACCTTCCTGCCTGTTCATACCATCAGAGCCGTTTAGAGCACTGGTGTACTCTGTATGGATCGATCACTTTCCTCTAACCCTGTGGTGGCGGCTCATGCCGTTGATCCCAGCACTCGAGAGGCAGAAGCAGGTACATCTTTGAATTTGAAAACAGCCAGAACTACACAGAGAAAACCTATCTTGAAAACTAAAATAAATAAAATTTTTAAAAAGAAGAAAATACAAGTAATACCTTAAAAGTTGAGCTCACAGAAATCTGAAGATCCTGCAGTCTGTGTTTCCTTAGCTTTCAAGAACCTAAGTGACGAAGAGGGCCCTGAGAGTGACATACAGGAATCTGCCTAGGAAGGGGAAAAAGATAAGGTGAGTAAATTGGCAGCATAAAGGGCAGGCGAGGGGTGGTGGTGGAAGAGAAATCTGAACCTCCAGGGAACCTCTGTGAGTCCAGCATGGGAGCACTGCTGTGGTCCTCCCTGACTCCCTGGCTGTTTTCCTTGAGCCAGTTGAGATTTTATCTGCTCCTCGTTCAACCCAAAGTCTTGAATCACCCAGATCCTCATCTTTTTTAAACACTACACAGGAAATCTATAAGTAAATCTGTTTGCCAAACATCCCCCAAACAGGTATCCTTAAGTGGTTCAATTAGTCCTGTCTCTATTCTCTTTGCCTCAACCCTGCCCGGCATTTCCAGCCTAGAGAGAATGGTGTGGGAATGACACGAGCATTTACCAGTCTAAAGCAGGTATTTGTCATTTCATTGTTTCTTGGGTGAAGAATCCTGCAGCAACTGAGACAGTAGTTCTACCTCAAGGGCTCTCATAAGGTCATTGTCAGGCTGTCAGTCAGGACTGAGGTCCACTAGGCCTTAAAGGCCTGTCTTTCAGGGTAATTCAAGTTGAATAAGCTGAAAGTCCCCCCCTACCTGGGCTTCTGCAGAACTGTCCTCCCATCACGAAGCTGGCCAGACCAGAAAGCATGAGGCAACCATGATGCATATATGACTGGACTCTGCACAACACAGACCATCATTTACAGGACATGCTATTGGCTACATGGGCCAGCCTAACTTAGTGGAGAAGGCAACTGCACTCCGGTGTGAATGGCCCAGGTAATGATCACCTGAGGTCTTCCTGTACCTTGACCTCCATGTTCCCATGGATTTTTGTCCCTTTATTTTTATTATATTTCCATTTTCATTTGTCATGTGTAGTCTGCATGTATATATCATACATGTGTGTACATGCATATGGAAGGCTGAGGTTGATGTTGGGAGTCAGTTTTGGTCACCTTTTTTTTCTACTTTATTCATTGAAGCAGGGGCTGTGAATAAATCCCAGAGCTCACCAATACAGACAGGCTTTTATTACATCAATCATACTCGGGATTTCTGTGTGAGCAATTCAGGGATGGCTTCCCATTCAATTAGCAAAAAAGTTCACTCTCTGCCAGGTTTGCTTGTTTGATTTGTTCGACCTACAGTCACATCCTCCAAAGCCTCTCTGCTATTTCTCCCTTTTCTCTTATCTCCAGCCACACCGGCTCCTTCCTCCTCCTTAGAAGACGGCAGTGACAGCCCCATTCAGAACTTGTTCTTGTTGGTCCCTTATCGTGTGTTGTTTACCAACCCCCAAAGGGTCGGTCCTTCACTTCCTTTTACTTTTTGCTCTACCATCTTGCTGCTGCTGGAGGGGTTTTTTCCTGATAGCAAATGAATGGCTTCCTCCAGTGTCTACATCCCTTCATCTGACTTGGTTGATTCACACATTTTCAAGATGTGATGTTGTAGTCTGGTTTTTACAACTCAATTACACATTATAAACACTGTCTGTTAGGTTCCCATTTGAAGTACTTGTATATGTACTGGTATATCTCAACCTGAAGTACAAGAAATTGCCACCTACCTTATTTTATATTAGGAGATGTGTAAATATGTGTACAACCAGAGGCAGAAGAAGTGATGGGACCCTGATTTTCTGTGAGTGACTGTATTGTCACAGAACCCCTGCTTCTTTACCATCATTGACATTGAAAAGTCTCTAAGGCACTGGAGAGATGGCTTAGTAATTAATGGTGCTTTCTGCACTTCCTGAGGACCCGAATCGAATCAGATCCCCAGCACCCAATCAGGTGGCAGCTCTATGATTTCCTCTTCTCTGTTTTTATTTTTGTATGTTTGGCATATTTTTAAATAATATATAATAAATGTTCACAAAATAGAAGGTGATTATTATATTTCAAACATGAAAATTTAATTTTTCATTCTTAGAAATGTATATATATATATAATCATATATATAATGATTATAACTACCTGACTGTTTCCCCACTCTAATTTTGCCTGGTCCACCCCTCAAACCCTCCCCTTCCTGATTTCATATCTAGTTTTTGCCTTTTTGCTTTTACTGATAACCAACTATTTCCAGTTAGTGCTGTCCTTATGTGCATGGATATGGGGCTATCCATTGAAACATGGGAATTATACAAGTGGTTGCTTCCTAAAAAAATAAACAGAATAAATTCCTGTCTGCTGGCAACTATCAGCTGCTAACAGATGTTTAGAAAGGGATTGGGCTAGAGACTTTAGAACCTACCTCCTTTGTGGCTTGGGCTGACTTGATCTTATATAGACATTGTACAGGTAATCATAGCCATTGGGAATTGCTGAGTGCAATGGCCATGTTATGTCCAAAAGGCAGAATTTCACTTCGTTCCTTCTGATCCTCCAGCTCTTTGGTTCTTTCTTCTTCCTCTTCTGTGGCGATCCCTGTGCCTTGGCAGGAAATGAGGGTGGAGATGTTTGCAAACATATCCCATTCAGGATTGAGTTCTCAGCCTCTCCTCCTCAGCACTTGGACCAGCTATGAGTCTCTGCACTCCCTGCTATCCACTGCAAAGACAGGCTTCTCTGAACCAGCTGAGAGAAGTTCATATCTATGAATGGAAACATAAGCTCGGAGGCTTACAATAAAGCCAAAGAACACAGTCTCTGAACCTTCTAAGAACCCCTAGTTGACATTTAAAGGTCCTGCTATCGCTGTACAAGTGTCTCTTCCCACAGGCTAAAATATGATGAGCATTTTGCTCTGTTATTATTGACCTTGAGAAAGTGGGAACTTGAATGACCTTGACTAGTTGGCTAGTTAGACATCTGAACAATGGTCTTGGTTCCAGTTTCATTTCTGTTCCTGTGACAAATTGTCTTGACCAAAAGCAATGTATGGGACAAAGTGGTTTGTTTCCACATAGAACTGCAGGTTGCAGTCCATCATTGTGGTGACATCAAGGCAGGAATTTCAGCTAGTCTATGACATCTAGTCAAGAACAGAAGAAAATGAATACAGCCATTCTCATCATGTTGTGTTCAATCAAGTTCTCTATACACAGTTCAGTATCCCCAGCCTAGGAGATGACACTGCCCACAGTGGGCTGGATCTTTCTAAATTCATTATGATAATCAAGATAATCCTACATAGACATTCCTGCAGGCCAACCTGATGTAAACAATCCTTCATAGAAGAGCTTTTCCAAAGTGATTTTAGGTTGTGTCAAGTTGGCAATTAAATTTACTCATCATAGTCCTCTCCCTTTGTGTGCTCCCAAATTCATCTTTATTCCTTCTAGACCTATATGCTATGAAACTCCTACTATTACATGATACTGCAGTAGCAAGTTTATAATGACAACTCATGACCTGTTATTGGTTTTGATTTCTTGAGGTCTTATATTTCTATACCTGTGCATTTACCTGAGAATCAAAAGTAATACAATAAAATCTCCTTAGTAGATTTTAGTCTGCTAAGAAGTGTTATGGCCTGTTAAGAGTTCCTGGTCCAGGAATGAGATGGGCTTTTGATTTTGCCACAAATGGTTGGCATACTTAAGGAAATCACTTTGGGTAGACTTGGATACCTGCAACATATGTCTAAGATTCTGCAATTGTTAAAGGAGAGAATGCATGTCACAGAGTAAAAAAAAGAAAGTCTAACAAAAATGCATACCTCCTTAGATTTCATGACTTTGTGACCTATGTAATGACAAAAAGAAACTCCAGGAAGAAAGGAGTTTGCCTCACCTTATGGTTTCAGTTTGCAGACCATCATTGTGGGAACTTCAAACTGGTCACATAGGTAAGAGTTCACACTGAAAATATTCCTATAATTATTCACATTCAGAATTCTACTTAGATATTCATGACCTCATATCATTTTTTAGTCTCCTAGTCATCCTCCCAAATATTATGAGCAATTATTATTCCAACAGCCTTGAACATTAAAATCATGTGTGTTTAGCAATCAGTTCTAGCTTACAAAGCTGCTGAACTCTTTGTATATAGGTTCCACCTTTAGCAAGAAAAATCATCTTGGCTGCAAGGAGTTTGGCCATTTCCCTGGAGCTGCTGGTCACCCACGGGGTGGGTCTTCAGAAGGTGCAGCCCCACTGCAGCCAGCGTTCATCGCCAGGCCTCCCTCTGGGATTGTGTTTTGGGATCAGCCCTGCTCCAGGAGGCTTAGCGGTGGTGGGAATGTGCTCGTTTGCCTTGTTCTGTCTGAAAGAGGTCAGAGTGGAATGACTATGGGGTCAGGGCCAGGGGAAGCAGTGGACGGGACATAAGCAGGAAGGAAGGGATAATTTAACTGAACCCAGCCTGAACCTTCAAGCAGTTCAGTTAAGGGCCAACACTGACGTCAAAGCTGTTTCTTATTTTATACGTCAGGCTACCTCCTGAGTAGCCCCCTTCCTTCTGTCAGTTCCAAATGCAGGGCCATGACCTTTTGGATGCTTGCTCACTATAGTTCAGGTAGAGGGTTTCACAGTGTTACCTCTTTTTTTGTTCTTGCAATATGAGGTCCGGCTGCTGTCTTTATATCACGGTTCATGGAAAAGAAGAATGAACAAAAGCCTTAAACATACCTTATTGGTTTTATATCCTTATTCCATTGGGTTCTATGTCTTAAATAGCCTCTCTTACAGTGATTCCATGCCTCTAGCATATTTAACTTCCTTTAAACAAAGTACAAAGAAAAAACAGTTTAAGAAATAAATTAGACTTAAATGCTATGGCAGTGGTTTCATAAGCATGCATGCGTATGTAGCTAAGAAAAGTAGTTTTATTTTGCATACATACTTTGATTTGAGTCCCCTACAATGTCTCCACCAGTTCACATCTTATCCTCACCTCACTTGGTACCTTAATGTGAAGGAGACATCACCATGGAGATTCTCATTCCACTAGCTACTTCCACTAAAGTGGATGCCATTATGTGTGTCTCATCTTTTAGCCCTCACATATCCATGGCAGGGGATTACCATGTTGTGCTCTTCTAAATAACAAATCAACAAGTCAAAGGGAGATATGGATTGCTCTGAGCCACAGTTCTCCCAGGACCAGATCCTATAATCACTCTCCTGGAGCCCATGGTTCTTCAATGGTCATAATTTATCACAACTGTAAACTCAAGTTAACAATTGCTGTTCTTGGTCTTCCTTGATCTATGCATGCTGTAACTTGTGAAACTTTCCTCCAATGTCTCTGTCTATGACCATCAAGAGCAAGGCCTTTGTGAGCTGCCATGACTCGTCATGGGCTTCCTGCACATTTTTGTCTCTGGCCACAGTCCTGTTCATGTCTCATGAATTGAATTGAGTGAATCTCTGGAATAATTTTACTTAATAAGTATCTATTTGGTGTTGATAATGGAACTGGCAAGGAAGTTGAGATATATAAATGGGTAAAGCATGTAGAATTCCCTGCACTCAAGGAACTTAGAGCTAGTTAAAGGAAACAAGAAGTGAACAGAATATGCAGACCATATAGAAATAGAAGTTAGTGCTGCTATAGGAAGAACCCAGGTGGAAGGGAAGCTGGGAACCAAGTTGTGGTTTTAAGTACAATGACTCAGGGTGGTCTTAAAGAAAAAGGGACAGATGAATAAACATCTGACGGAGGTGAGAAAGTGGGTGGCATTAGACATATCTGTGTATAAAACATGCTATTTAAAAGACTAAATGGTAAATTAAAGGTTGCAGGATTTCTTCATCCAGTTGTGGCAACATCTAATTAATACTGGACTAGAAGAGACAAGAAGAATTACTTTGTTCTTCCTGATATACTTGTATTTTGTAAGGTGGAAACTAAAGATTGATAAGCCCCAATGTATGTCTTTAGCCTTAGATAAACCAAAAAATCCAAGATGCCTACTGAAAAGCTAGATCACTCATTCATACACTCAACACACTTCCTTTCACCAACCTGTCATCCATTTTTTTTTGGCTTCCTCAATGAACTATTATACTTACTCTAAAGATTACTGGCCCAAAATCTGACATCAATGTCATCAAATAAACATCTTCTTTGGGTTTAATGATTCAAATAGGAAGTGAGTCCACACTGAGGAATTCTGTATGTCCAAAAACATAGTGAGCAATTGAGAACACAATTGCATAATTTGGTTTTGGGAAGAAGGTCATTTACTCTAAATCAGTGGTTCTCAACTCTCCTAACGCTGAACGCTTTAATATAGTCCTTCATGTTGTGATAACCTCCCAATCATATAATTATTTTTATGACTACCTCATAACTATCATTTTGCTTCTGTTTTAAACCATAATGTAAATATCTATGTTTTCCATTTATGACTGTCTGACATCCAAAGGGGTCATGACCCGTGGGTTGATAACCACTGCTGTAACTAAAGATCATAAAGTAAATTCTCTTTTAATGGGGACAAGGGTAACATCACTCAAGTTGGATCGGAAATCTCACTGTGAGAAATAGAGGCAATTCCTTCCAATTCAAAAATAAAGGGAATTTCAAAAGGGAAAATAGCAACTATGCTATGTTTTGTTTTAGACCTGGATAGAATCCACATCATTGAGTCCCCATGTCTCTGTCTCACACTATTGAAATGGACACTGAACAGGAACACAAGGGCACTTCAAATGTGCCTTGGTGCACCTGTTAAATATTCCAAGCTATTATTGACATTCTCATTTTTGACTGACATGTAGGAAATCTTCGTTTCTTAAAGTACTTTGTTTCTTATTAAAAAGAAAAACACTTTACACATCTAAGCAGCAAGTGAAATCACCTGGGGAGGATTTAGAAACATCTCCCTGCTCCACACCCAGATGTTTCAATTCAGAAGGTCTTGAGTAGGGCAACAGAGCGTACATTTCTAACAAGCACCATGTGAATTCCCATAATCAGCCTGATTCAGAAACTGCCACAGGGCTTGGCAGCCACAGGACTGGGAGCTGCTGGCTCCTACAGTGTAGAAACCTGAATGATGGACTGATTTTAATTTCCACTATCTCATACTCATGAAAGCCCTGAACAGGAAAATGCCCTGTATCATTGCTTCTACATGCTGGCATATTTTGACTTTCTAATGGGTGAGCTTAGAAATGTTAAATTGTTTGAGGTGATTTACATTTCTTTTCCTTTAGGTAGTAGGAAGATTGAGACACTTTATTTTATATCTATGGGAAAAGTAATCTAAAAGAATAAAGTGATAGATATACAAAGTCTGCACTCATAAAGGAGAATGAATTGATTACCAATTGGCTTTGCTGTGCATGAGTAGTTTGATGAGCACACCTGAAAAAATGATCTCAATGATGAAGCCATCTCCAGAAGCAAAAGAAGAGGGCTCAGGAGATGGATTAGGAGATAGATTGTCAGAATCCCACACTTTGGTTAGGACTGTCAAATAGTGATAGTTGCTTGTATTTAAGAATGTCCTTGATATCTTTCTCTGGTTAAAATTATTGGGCAAGACACATAAAACAATTGGTATATTGTATGTAGAGAAAGGGCTGAGGACAGGCCAGGGACAGACCATCGGAGCACTGCAAACCCGACTAGTTCTTCCCTAGCCTGCCCTGACCTAGGCTGGGTGTCACAAACAGATTATTTAGTCTTGAAG